CATATATTGACTTGTTCCTGATTATTCGTCATTGCCCTTGGTTAATTTCTAATTTTAATGCTACTCTTTGTAGTTTTGCGACATACTGATAATGTATTGTTTTACGATATGATTTTGTTCGGATGAATCAAGGTCTCTGAACTGTCTGCGGGTATTGTTGGTGTGTGATTCTTGTGATCAGAGTTTTGATCCCACCTTGTTGAGAATACTCTACTTGATTCTAAGCTAATTCTCACGGTTGAAGTTCGGTCAACTAATTTTGTTCTACAGTACTTGTTCTGTACTTGGAAATTCACTTGCCTGTATAGCTGTCCAGCTGCACTGTTCAGATAATTTTTAGTTTTTGATATTGTTATTGTTGGAGAGAACCACACATTGATTCCAACTATAAGCAGTCGTCTTTTGACAGTCTTTGGAGACTTTTGTGACTGTACATGCCTCAAGGAAGTTGTGTCAGCTATACGGTAAGACGCAAAGATCGGTTTCCTGCGTTCTGACCACAAAGAGTCGGTTTTCATCTTAACAAAAAGTATATCTAAAGTTAATAGTTCAATTGACAATTGCACTTCGCATTCCGTATTGCAAGTGAAATGATAGTCAAATAATTATGCATTTAACTTGTTGACATTTTAAAGTCAAAAAGTCAATCGATCGCTTAAAATTTATAATGTTAACTGTTAACGTTTATTACCAGATAAAAATGTTGAAAAAATTTTCATCACAATAAACTGACACATGACGTTCAAGGTGTGCTTAAAAACAACATGAGTTAACAATTTTCGGTAATATTTCGAAGCATATTTAACTATCACTCCGAAATGAGGTATAAATATTTACAAACACTCTTTCATCCCCCTTCAATCTCAATTTTGAAGCGGATTACATATACAGACTGTAAATCACGTACATCAATCTGGTCTCTTCTAAGTATAAATCCATACGAAAGGCAACAATGTGAGATGTATTTCATAGACATTATTTTTAGGCTTCACAAATTAAAAGGTCACTTCTTTCGGCGTTATCCATTCAATGAAATATATCAGTACTGATGACTACAAAATCAAAAAGGGACAATTTAACGCAACAATTTCAGAGAAGGTTCCTTTTCTCTATCACAAAGAACTATTTATTTTGCTAATTACATAATAAGCAGTAATTTTCATACCAAACCCTATCTCTATCACATAGAACGTGGGCCAAATAGGGTATCACTGAGTTTCCGTACTTGTTTTTGCGAGGATATAATCTTTTATAATGACTTCTAGTCCTACCTGATGAGATGCAAAGACAGAGTTGTGAATAGAGAGGGTGTTGAGAGTCCGATAGGATGGACTTAGATAATTTTTCGCATGAGTTCATTTGTCTGTTGACTACAGTAGTAACAAGCTGACTTAGTAGTACACTACTTGCCCTACGAACAAGCTTTAAAACTCTTCACTGTATTCACTGTATCACAAGTTCTGTTCTAGAATAAAACAAATCACTTTTATTATTGGTTGGAGGATTTCATCATGAGCTGAGATAAGTTAGAGAACCATTGGAATACCTGGGAGTACTGGACAGCTGTTTCATCCAAGTTCGGGACTCCTCATCAGTACGCACCCACTGGGGTTTGAACACAGGACCTTCTGGTTACAAGGTGAGCTAGCTCGTAGACAATTAAGCCACTGAGACCCAATCCAATAGCCCATGAATTCTAACTTCTACCAATTCATGACATAGAGCGACCACTGTGCAATGTCTTCTTTGATGACTAACTGTCCTCACCTTCGACCTACTATTAATATTATAGAAGTGAAATAAGGGAGAAGATTCGTAGCTTAGGTGGATGATATTGAATTAGTTGTGTTCTCAGAGCTGGTCGATTTAATTGCGAAGTTTTCGCCATCCTTCTAGAGACGTAAATTAACAACCAGTCACGACTGTGGTTGCCAGGAGATACAATTACATCATTCATGGAGAATTTAAATAAATCCATTCTATACTAAAACTTGCGCTGAAGATATTGTCTAGAAGGACAACGAAAGCTCCGCAAATAAATCGACTATGTCAGAGAACACAACTAATTCAGAAGTGAAATAGTTCAAAAATGTTGACAATAACTCATTCACATTCATTCCACCATAGAAATACTGAGAACATTCAAGTCGCTTCTTTACTTACTCCCTCTATCACGTGTGTCTGTTCCCTGTATAGCATTTTATTTATTTTGTCTTCTTTAATGGGCCCTTTGTTGCAAAATAGCATGTCCATGTGTAGTTTCATGTTGACCTTTCTGTTTTTCTGTCATTGGAGTATCAATAAGACTGGAAAAGCTAGTGTAAACAGCATTTATAAACTTGAAATAAATTTCATACAACTGGTTCCCTTGATAAATTTCGATAAAGAAAGGAAGACGAAATTTGCAGTATAAAATGATATCATTCTATTTCACAGGTTCTCATCAGCTGCAGACTACCTGAAATTACAATGGTTATATAAATGATAATAACATACTTTAATGTCTGATTAGTAGTAGAGAAGAGATAAAATTGACGCATCCAAAAAAGAATGAAAGCATTACAATTTTAGTTTAAGTTATCATCATCAATTTATACACTTTCAGAGTTGAAAGAGGGGAGTAAACAAACAGAATAATGTACTTGTAGGTTCACATGGCAACTCCAAAAACAAAAGCATTTACAGTTTATAAGATTGAGATTTGCTCAGTGAGTTGAGATCACTGATGACTAATCAAAATCAAAATTCAGTTACCAAGGGAGTGAGAGGTTAATCACACTCTCTTTCTGTATGCATAAGTCTGGTTTAAATCGTTTGATTGCGATCGCTTCGGCAAATCGTAGTAAATTTGCTGTCCTTTGTCTATTTAATATTTTGAAGGACTTAGAGATCTCTACGAGATGTCCGGTATCAACAATATGTCTGGTAATTGCACTCTGAGAATATTTGCTTCCTTTCAGGCATAGGTTTCTTGGAATATGTTCAGAAAACCGGATAGAAGCCCTTCTTTCTGTCCTTCCAATGTACTTGCTCCCGCAAGTGCACGTAAATTCATAAACGCAGTTGGAGGTGACATCAGCAGGGTATTTATCCAGTTTTGAGTTGATCATGGAAGGAGTGGTGTTGTATACTGTTATGAGTTTTGCTGCCGGGAAGCTTCTATTTATTGCTCCTTTCAGTCTTCTGTCAATCTTTTGTATGCATCTCTTAAGTTTATTATATTTATATAACCATTGTAATTTCAGGTAGTCTGCAGCTGATGAGAACCTGTGAAATAGAATGATATCATTTTATACTGCAAATTTCGTCTTCCTTTCTTTATTGAAATAAATTTCTTGACTAAAATTCATTGCTGATTAATTTTTGACTCCTGAAGTTATCAAGATTGAGTCTAACTAGCAAACAGGCAGAACAACACAGGACTATGCATATAAGTCAGTCATTCCAAGTTATGACAGCTCAAAAGTTTGTTATCATTCAGTTTTATTGTATCAAGAATTTCACCTAAGCAATTTGCACCTGTGTGCATTGCTTAAACCGACAGTTACAGACTTCATGGACTAATATCATACTTTCATCGAACAAACCGTACGTCTGTACAATTCATCAACTGAGAAGTACTCCGAGATGTGCAAGATTATATGATGAAGATTGACAACATAGTCAACAGTGTATCTCGTGAGATCATCGAGACAGCCGAATCCACACCACGTGATTTAACTGTCTGAGAAGACATGCTTGTTATCAAAAGACAAAGTCGTACAAAGCAGAATCAACAACTCTCCAAAAACACTCGTTTGTTTGTTCGTTTATTTTATATTTGAACTGAAGAATATATTTATAACATGATCTGTTATATCAGTCGTAAAAAGATATTAAAAGAAAGAAAAAAGGAGAAGAAAATGCATCATAGTAAATAATTTATAATGTTAATATCATCAGTGGTCAATTGTTCGTTCAATGTTTCAATACGAGAGTAGCGGAGTAAAAGAAAATCCAGCAATATATATAAGAACACATCATTTCAATTTTTCGTCTAGTTGATGACTTTAAATACTGGTGGCTTTTTTTGAACAGAAAATAGACATGCAGACACAGACATAGCTACTTCCATAGTTATTGTGATGAAAGCGAGAATTGTGTTTATTAATAAAATTGCGATGGTGTTTACTTGGTAACGGAAATTACTGATTTAAATAAAACGACCGTTAGAAACGGAAAGTGAATGAGAGAAATTAGTTATTTTTTCAAATGTTGTGGAAACATTATAAATTATTGAAATGAACTATTTTTTTTACTTTACAGTGTGAAATAAGTGTTTAAAGCTGTTCATATGATGGGACAAAAATATGGGATTGTAAATTTGAAAGAAAAGGCGATGACTGATATAATACATAAAGTGAATATATACTTACACAAAAAATGGGGAAAAATATTTATAAGCCTATTTTTCCACAGGGAATGATCGGTGAAGTGTAAATCTGGGAACTAGAAAGTGGGTGGGGGGATGATGAATGTCTCTCAGACAATTTCATAAGAAGAATTCGTAGCGTTTATTAACTGTTGACTACGCTTAATAATATCATTTTATCAGTTTTCATTCGGAAAGGGAAAGAGAGTTTCATTCACGCATTCTCATTACCACTGTTTCAACACCTTTATGAAGGCTGTTTGCGGTGCTCTTAAGAGGTAAAATGTGAAGAGTAAAGTAGGAGGGAAATTAAATAAAAACAGTGACGAAATGAATTAATTGATTTAATAATTAACCAATTAATAAGTACGATGACAATTGTGGTGACTTCAGAATAAGAAGAATATTGATTTTTTTTAAAAAGACATCAAGCATAAACAGCCAACATCACAGTTTCATGGATAAAGGTATTCACGTGCACATACACATACACATACACACCAGAGACCAAATAGATAACAGCAACTAAACTGAAATGTTTCATGGATAATACATTAAACGGGGAGGTTTTTTCTCTTTGTGTGACTAATTAATGACCAGTACTGCCAGATGTCGTTGAGGCATTCATATCACTATTATGACCACTTGAACGTTTATTGATACGATCTTTCTCTGTTGCTGATAAGTTAGGCTTATTGTACTTCAACCATGGAAGGTGTTCGTTGAAAATCTAGTGAATTAAAAATTGATTAGAAAAACAAGTTGGTTAAAAAACTGTCTTTAGAAATAATAAAAATAAAACTGTCAATAAAAATTAGATTAGATAATTTTCTATTAGTCTTCATTACTGTTATTATACATAACTGTTAGTCAGACTTATCTGGCTGGAAGTCTTTTCAGTGAAGGAGCTCTATCAAGTATAAGACAGTTTATCATCAGTGCTGTGTGTTAAAAATAATATTAAAAATTTAACCATTAATTTTATCACATGATCTTGAGAACAACTGAAAACCAGGAAGTACTGAAAAGTGATCTCATCCCTTATTTTAGCTCTTCACCAGTGCATACCCATGATTCCCTCATGGTTCCGATCCAAGAAATCAAAGTTAAGGCTTATGACTCTGCCATTTGGTTTGAGCTTGGTGATCCATGTATTCTTAGCTATGATGATTGTGGCGCTATAGATAGAGAAGACATAGATTATGCGATACTGAACTTTGACCTACTAGCTGAATGGTAACGTGAAATAAAAGAGAATCTTTGTAGCTCAGAAAACACTAGTAGCGTGCCTGTTTCACAACCTGAATGTTCTGGGCTTGAACTCTGATGAAACCATAAGTGAAGACCACTGGAGAACTCTAAACCAAAGTAAACTGAATGTCTAGTAACCACTGGTTTTCAGTGGTTCTCTAACTGGTGTCAGTTTGTAAAGAAATTTATTTTGAAATGAATCAAACGCTTACAACATCTGAGGGATGCTTGAATGCTACGGAGGGTCTAATCCAATCGTTTAAAAGACACTGATCACTGCAGTGTTTGAGATACTCTTATTATATTGAGGAACAGAAAATAAGTCAATTTTATATTCACTCTCAGTTCATGAATAAGGCTGCATAGGTAAATATAACCGAAACTTTGGTATTTCAGTATAACTTCTTCAGAAAGAGAAAGTTGGAGGATAAGTTTAGTGTAGTGATGCTAAAAATAACTTTAATAAAGCTAGTAGAAGCCACTCAGACACATCAGTACCACAGTTTATAAAAATCTAATTGATTCCATTGATGTGAACTGTGTGTTTGGATTTATGTTGGAGTTGAAGTATTCAAACAGCTGATATTCATTATGTCAGAGCTTAGAAATATATTATTATTATTTTTAGCCACTTATCCTTTCTATAATCTCCAGCATTGTTTCAATATTCAGAGTTATGAAGTATTTCTTCGTGTAAACACAACAGGTACTCGTGTTCTCTGAACATTCAAAATGTCTGCAAAGTCAAAAAAACTTGCGTTTGCCAACTATTCAAAATAATATCAAGGTAATCTTTAGTTTGAATTGTGCAATTTCATGTTTCTTTTTAGTTTGGTTATGTGACGCTTGATATTTAGAACCGACATTTTGAGTCAGCATATGTCTGCTTGCATATCTTCGGTTTACTTTGCATAGTCAAATTTCAAAATAGTGTTTTTTTCAGAATGTAGAAAAGTAGAATTGAATAAACCTGGTCGATGGGTTTCTATCAGCACACCTAGGAATGATTATCTATATTGGTTAGCATTAAATATCTAGTGATCAACTGTCATTCAGCCTTATTTATTATTTTCATGAAAAATATCTGACTGTGATACTAAATGGTGCTAGTTTGTATCTCTTATGGAGCATGATCATTTTCACTGTTGCGTCTATGTCTTGCTAATGATTAACAACGGTTATATATATAACCATTAGTCAGACCTATCTGGCTGGAAGTCTTCTACTTAGGTAGCCACAATAATTCACTGAGGGAGCTCTATCAAGTATATGACAGTTTGTCATCAGTGCTGTGCGTCAATGCTGCCTTGCTATCAGTAACGCGTTAATTTGCCTAACACCAACCCAGAGTTCGTCAGATGTCTCTATGTGAACATATTCTGGAATAAAAAAGAGTTTTAACTGATGGTTAAATTTATTTCACATCTACCTACCAACTGACTGACTCTTTGAATCCCTTGAATTCACTTTATCGGTGGAGATTCTATAGAAATATCATGTGCAGTATAGAACAGATCGTCAGTACCTTCCTTAGTGAGCAATACTAAGTGAAGCAAAATATGCTGAGCGAAAACTCAGTCGTGATCAATCCAAGATATAATACCGATTCATGCGACTTATTACTCTCAGTTGTAGAAGCATAAGCTGGTTTAGATACTTTACCGAAATGCAAAGGATCACCATTTGAAAATGTTTGGTAATATAGTCTAAAATCGATCACAGTGGTACATATGTATTTGCACTACATGCTGTCTGAAAGCTGAGTCGTTTCTGCTAAAATTTCTTTGGTGTCCTTTCTCCTTTCTCACCGGCTTTTGCTTATTGTAGTGTTGTTCATTTTCATTTCATATTATTAATGAAATGCTGTTGAAAAATGCCGATGAACTTCTCTCCAATATTTCATACTGCTTTATGTGTCAGTCGAAAAAGAACACTGGTAAGTCAAATCTCGAATTCAAATGCGGATCAAATTTCAATTGGATTGAGAGCTCCGTCAAATTATCCTGTAAAGGTACTTGTGAAGGATATGGTTGTTTTAATCACAGATATATATCAGCTACATTGGTGTATCTTTTTGTCTAGATTCATGAGCAGATTAATTAAAAAGGACGAAGCATTTGACTAATCACTTTTTAAACTATCTAAGGAGTCCCTCATCGACAGACTAGTTTTATTATAAGTCAGTGATGAATAACTTGACCTAGATTACAACTTGGGTTTCGTAGTACAGTCTAAAAGAGATTAAGTTAAAGTATGTTAAAGTCTGATGGTACTTTTTTGAATAGTGATATTAATTTCGACTAAGGACAATATCTGATGAGATGTCGTCAAAGAAGTCTTGCAATCTGTAACTTCGTTGATCAAATTATGTTCATTCATTTGCCTCCAGTAATCAAAGATATCACAAAAGAGTATATAGTACAGGTTTTAGGATGACAATGTCCATCATATTAGTTCAGGTAACACAGCAGATTGTAATTACAACAGAATTGTTAACTGGTCGCTTTTTTCTAGTAATTTCCTCCCTAAATGACTGTAGGTGTATAAAGGATTAAAATCAAGGAGTAATGAAGAGCTGTTATGTGCTGGTACGCTCATGAGAACACACGAAATCAAAAGTGGATCTCATCAAAGCTAACCTGGAAGTCAATTAAATCATCATCTAGGAACCAACAACCTGATTGTAATTTCTTTAACAAGATGGTTCCTCCACCAACCCATTGCTAAAGATTTTTAAACTACGCCATAATAACAGTTGAATTTCATATCATGATGATGATTTTCTTTAAAATTAACAATTTCTTTCTTTCAGGATGCTAAATGGCAAAGCACACATCTGAATGGCTTCAAGTTAACGCCCTAATTTATCTGTGTCATTCATCAGAAAAAAAATAATTTATTTAGATTATTCATATTTTACACTGACAAAAACAAACGCCATCCACCCATAATTCAATTGGCAAAATCGATAGAATTGTCGACTATCTAATTCATTGGAATAATTAGTCTGTTAAATTATTGATTAGTTAGTTAACTTTATATTACAAGCTTTACGGCCATCTATTATTTTTAATATTATTTTATTCTTAGAGTATATTTTGTTACAAACCCATACCACCTAGACATTTGTTTATAAATGAGAACCTATAAAGAAAGCTAACTCAAAGGCGAACAGAACTCCTGGAAAAATTCCTTTCCAGGCAAATTATAAGACAAACAACTAACTTCAGATTTCATTTTTCGAAGTTTCAAAAAGAATAAATTTGTGTAGTCAGTCAGACTGAATTTGAAGACAGATAGACGTAAATGGCCTTGGATGATGGCTACGATATTTCGTGAATGTGTGCGTATAAAGTGTTCGCTGTCTCACGCTCTTGATGCAAGACGTAATCAAACTGAGTTATGCAGAAAAGTTATGCATTTTTCACTGATCTAATAAATATGTGATAATAAAATCAGTTTATTTCTCATAACCCTGAAAAACATTATCTTGCTCAGCAAATATCACACTAAATTCAATAAATGCCAAGATTTCAATACATTACTTACAATGCGGTGTGTATATAAAATACATCTGAAGAATCACCATGTTTATAGAAGTGTTTTTACAAAACCTAGTTATGTACACTGAGTATAAGCAAACATAATTTATCGTTCACAAGGTATTAAGCGATCTTATTAGGGAGAGTTCCTTTTCGTTAGGACAGGGGGAGATATAATATGACTTGGTTTTTACCTGACCTATAGGGCTAGACATATGACCTTTACGTAGACTAAGGGTCACATCATTGAATTTTTAGCGGTGCATAATATCCAATAAAAACATAGTTTTTTTTAAAAATATCTTATCCTAGTGATTTATTGGTCAGTTAAAATAACCCTGTAATCAGTTGTTAACTATAGTGATGTTACCCTTTTTAGCAGAGAGAGGTAAATCTTTGCCTTCACAGTCTTCCTCAGCGTAGGAGTAGTATTCGAGTGATCAGTTGTATGTTGTTGTTGTTCTGTTGAAATAACAGTAGAACAAACCCCCAATCCATTATTATCCATAGTTAAACAAACAGTTGAGAATCAACTGAATTCAGAGTAAATATATAATCAGAAATCTACGTTAGTGAAGAAACATTTAAGAGTCAAAAAGGTTGTTTAATTTTTGGCATTTTCTACCTACAAATTCACAAGAGATCAAGGCTAAAACAGTCAAATTTTGAGTTGAGTATGTTATCATTGAGCTTCTGGGGCAAAATACAGAGGACTGTGATTTCCAGTTCCAGGCTTCATTATGTACATGGAATCACTACTGTGAAGTGCTGATTCGGAAAACAACTATTCCGTCTCCTCAGGTTTTTGATAGTCCCACTGAATTAATTATCACATAATGTCTAGTTTCGAATGAATTAGTTGACTATTGTCATATTTTGTTCTAATGTTGTGAAGCCAGGATTTCCACCACATTTGGTTCTAGGAGTGACTTTACAT